CTTTCAGCATTTTTGTTGAAATCATATTGTAACTGATAGAGATGTTCTGGTCAGCCGCCGCCATTTTAGCAAGTTGATCCGCCCGATCATTGCCGTAGTCATTACAATGTGATCTCGTCCAATTAAAATAATACTCATTATCAGACTCAATCAACAGTCTTTGAATACTAAAGACCAGAGGATGAACAGACTTCCTCCGAATCGTAGAGAGAGAAGATAGTGAATCGGTAATGATTGCAATTTTGGCATTATTGAGAGCCCGTTCACACCACTCGATTGCCTGTAAAATAGCATATAACTCTGCTTGAAAAATGCTACAAAGTGGACCAAGTTTAAAAACATTATAGTAAATTTCAATATTGTTGCGAAAAGCAACGAAACTGGCACCAACATGACAGTCACACTTCGAACCATCGGTAAAAATTTTAATGGCACAACTAGTAGAAGAAGCTTCGATAAATCTGATGTTAGTGTAGGGGCTAAAAGTGTCTTTATAAGGAATATTTTTCTCCCAGCTTTCCTCAGTGAAGGAGTTTGACATAGAGGTAAGATGATTACCACATTTGACTTTCCAAATTTTTTGTAAGTAGTTAATATATTTATCAATAGGCGGCTTGCGAGCAAGCACTTGCAAACTAGCATTAGCCGTAGTTCTGTATGCTTTGGTTATCATCAACAAAGCTCTACGTTGTGCCGAGATCAATTTGCGTTTTTGATGTACCTTAACTGCGGCAGAGCCCCAAATGCCACAGCCATAAGTGAGAACGGGTAGAAAAATGCTATCATATATCATTCCCATAGCCAGACCACTAAGGCCCCAAGATGACCTGGCAACCTTGGCAAAAGCGTGCATAATATGCCCTGTGTGTTTCGTAATATAACGAATATGGTTATTCCAGGACAGCCGATGGTCTAATAATATGCCAAGATATTTAAGTTCTTTCACCACCTTTAGGCTTTTACCGTTCATCCTAAGAGTTGGAACACGTGCATATAATTTTCGTTGTCTTGGCTTATTAAAGACAATAGCTTTACTTTTATTCGCATTAAAGCAGAGTTTATTCGTTATGCCCCGTTCATATATCATGTTCAATGCACGATTCCCTTTGTATTCCAAATCAGCACGTGACTGCCCACCAAAAAGAACGAAAACATCATCCGCATAGGCAATCATGGCATCCTGCCCAAAGTCCTGGCAAAGAAATCTATCAAAAAGTAAAATCCAAAGTAGAGGTCCGCAAACGGAGCCTTGTGGGCACCCTCTCAAGACTTTACATTGGAAAGAAAGATGGCCCACAGAAAAAATTGCACTTCTGTTTTCGAGATAGTCTTTAATTAATAAGTTGGTATATGTTGCTAGGGCATTGTAAGGTCCTAAGTTGATGAAGGACCAATGGCCACCAAGCAGAGTCGATGGCCATTGGTCTATCTACTAATGTCAAGACTCAGGCCTAAAACATATTTGTTGTTTTCTAATAGGCTCCAAATTTTTCCAACAACCATTTCAATCGCATCAGTGGTAGACTTCTGATGCCTAAATATGGGATTATACGCGTTATAAGCTACACAGATATAAGCGGCCGCCACAAACCTTTGGTAGGCAGTCTGATACGCGGGACTGTTAAATCTAGGCGCGGAGAGAGAGAGGGAGTTTACACATATCTAACAAATACCTCATAGATCTCTTCATAGCTCCTAGATTCTTCTATGTGACGTTGGCTGAACGATCAGTGTTCTAAAGTTAAGAGTTAAAGGAGGCGAATCCGGCGATGTAGATATGGGCGGCTGGAATTCTTCTCTTGATTAGTTTCGCGAAAAATGTAAAATTAATAATGATTGCATTAAGGATTTACAAATGTAGTTAATCGATTTGTCCTGTGAACGGCTTATATATCAGTAAAGAATTTATTATGATTGAAATATTTCTTTTCCATTCTGTCAACAAAGATATTTGCCTAAATGCAACAAAATTTAGATATGCTGCAAAAATTTTTCCACAGAAACAAACCACTACGATACTTCTCGCATTGCATGAAACAAACGTTTTATCTGTACATGGAACTGATATTATACGCAGAGCTTACCTGTCATTGAAATCATCCAAATTCGCATAATATCTTAAAGATAATTTATACTTTTTAAGTGTTTCAACAAATGGATTTCCTTGTTTGTGGCTTACACCGCATAGTAGTATCATAGTAATAATCAATGCTACCAATTTAGTTTTTAATGAAACATCTTTTTCATGTCCTGAAATGAAATTACACCAAATTTCATTTAATATTTACCGCTAAAATCTCACAAAACGGCTATGAATAATAAATTTTTAATTAATTTACTGAGATATTAGAGATTAAAATACTACGGTTTAAGTTCCTAATTTTTACTTCCACCGATTTCGTTTTAAAAGTAAATGTAGGTCATTTCAAATCATGTCCATATTTCATCACAAAGTACAACATTTAAGGATTTATTACTGTAAAACTTTTAATTAAAATATAAGTTTAACATACATGAATATTTCAGAATATGAATTCCAGTGTTTAACACCTACATAGAAACTATTTTTATACGTATAAATTAATTTATATTTTTAATGTAAACATAACTGCAAACTAAGCCTTAAAAATTATATGTTGTACATAAATTCGTAAGGAACATCATATTTTTTCAATTACTATTAAATACTTAATAGTGATAAAAACGAAAAATCATGTCATTTACGTGCATTATCATTAATAGGTTTTATATAATGTAATGAAAATGCATGTTATATAAAATCATTATCATTATTCACTAACACAAAACTAATAGATAAACTGCAGCAACCATAAATATTTTATAGGTACTTTAATAAAATTTAATCTCATTAAATGTTTCTATACTAAGAAGTATTATATTATACTAATAAATACATTAAATAATTAACATGCTTCTCCTTTAAGTGATTAAATTGCACGTCGATAGTTAAAATATTTCTGTCTAAACATAAATTCTTTATATAATAATGTTGCTATAATTAGTTCAAATGCATAATTTTTCGCATATTTAGAAGTGATTAAATTAAAAACACGTGGAATACTCCAAAGCACATAGAAACAATCTGTTAATAAAAGTAAGAAGATGTCTTCTATACATCAGAAAGAAATTTGTTTAAACACTTTATTGAAATCTTTCTTCAATCTTGCTTTAGTTTTCGGTTTGGAGTTTCACGTTCCTTGTAAATGTAAACCAGAAAAACCTACTTATATACAAAATGTATTGAAGAAGTTCTACATTCAAATTATAGAGACTTTTTTATGGTTGTTCTTTGTTATAAAATTATGGCAGGCAGTTCCTGGTTTAAATACAATTGCTCCTTGTGCCGGTCCTTATATTTTAACGAGAAGTGGCGTTTCTTTATTTAAAATGGTATATTTATTTGCAGCATTTTTCACTGCATCGATATTTACATTTATTAAACATAACAAAATTTCTTTTCATCTGAAATTGAAGCATGACATTTTTGAAACTCAGAAGATATACAAAGCAATTAACTATATGTCTCTGCTGATATGTCTGTATGTAATAATATTTCAATGCATTTTAGCGATATTTAATACAAAAACTTTACTCCCAATTTGGTACAAATATAAAACTTACAAACACGAAGAATTCTTTTGCTCTATTGTGTTTCAAGTATTCAGTAGTACCTTACTCGGAATAACTGTATTTATTATCTCGATAATAACAACAACAGTGTTTACATGCTTGAAAGAAATTGAACAATTGTCTACAGAATTATCGTCACTTCGAAGGTTCGATTCGAATCTACGATGGAAGGTGCAACAAATCATGGCACGTCACGATCAATTATGGGGAATTATATTACAAGCGAATAATCGATTCAATTATTTATTTGTTTTAGGACATATTGCTATCACTTTTGGAACGAGTTACTCTTATTACTTCTATCTGTTCATAGATGCCAGTGAAATAATTATATATTTCAGTTTATATTGCATGATCGTGTTTTCGATCATTTGCATCGTTTATGGACTTTTCCTCTCTGTCTTCGCTTTTTGGGTATGTTACATTTAGAATAATTATTTTGTAATTTAGGAATATTTTAGATAAAATATTATTTTTATCTCAGATGGAAAACACATTTCAAGATATTCGTCAAACCGCTGTTTGCGACCTACCATTAGAATTCAAGTTAAAGGTAATTTATATTAAAATGTATATATGTATATGTTACAGTCAAAACCCGTTTTTAGTTAGAACGCGTTTTAACTAGTTGAAACTAGTTTATACTGAATGTCTTTGTTAAAACCCGTTTTGTCTAGTTAAAACTAGTTTTAACTCAAATTCATTTTTAACTCCNGTATCCTTATTTATTGAATGTTTAATAAGCACCGAATATATTGTAGTAATAAATCTAATACTGTATATGTATAAATAACACATTTAGCATACAAATAGTAATATTCTTGCTAATATAAATAGTTTAATAATACACAATACTTTATCCCTGTATATATAAGTCATACATCAATTGTTATAGTTTATAAGTAACTTTATGAAACACTATTTACAATAGTTTAGTAAAAATCGTAGAAATTGTAGTAAATGATAGAACACCTTAGAAATAATTTCGTACAATCTGACAACACATTGCCTTCTTGTCTTGTATTCTGATAACTCTTACTTTATATATGAATTCCGAATCTTGGTAATTTATATGTCCATAACAAAACAAAAATTACAAATAAAGATTAATCACATTGTAGGTACAAGGTGTCCATAAAATCCGTGTCAATTTTAAAAATTTATAATTTTATTTATGTTTGTGAAAGAAATAATTTGTCAAATGTATTAGAAAGCGTAATGTATCTAGTTTTAAGTAAAATTGGAATTGAATGACCTGGACCATTGTTTTTTTTGGCCACCACGTTAACCAGACTTGACTCTATTAGACTTTTTTTTTTTATCGGGACATGTGAAAACCTCGTTTTATGCAACAAATCGATTGTATGCAACCAAATCTTGATCGTTAAAAGACTTGAAAGATAGAATAACTAATATGATTTCAAGAATTACTCTAAACCAATTGGCATATATTTTTTATAAAGAACTACAAATTCTTATTACCCTTTGTATTACTAATGACGGTAGACATGTGGAAAATTAATAAAATACAATAAAACAATAAAACATACATAGATTTTTTTAAATTACCAATACCTTCTACATAATTTCTTTATCACAAATACTAATAAAGTTATAAGTTTTTAACCTTGCACACGGACTTTACGGACACCCTGTATATTAACTGGAAAGAGACAATACGCTGAAATGTATTATTCATGTTTTTAATTTAAAAAAACCAAGATATATATGTATAATTTTCTATAATTTTGCAAAGAGCTTGAATACTTTATTAATGTTATAATCATTTGACTCTTTTGTAATAAGCAATTAATAGAATAAATTGATTTATTATTTCTCGAGTCTTAATCTTTACTAGAAAACTGACATTTTCAGAATTTCTAAAATAATTTATAAATTATTTTGGTGAAAATGACTGAATTTATTTTTCCTTCTGTCAACTTTGACCCTCCGTTATTTTGCAAATTTCGATTTTAAGACCGTATGAACCCGAGAAAGTAAGGAAAACACAGGAAAACAATTCAGTTTATATGTGTGTAGGTGTTGTTGAGATATTTTCTTTTAACATCTATGGATGGGGTAATGATTAATTAAAAAAAGAAAATTTGAATTGGAACTGGTGTAAATTAAATTTTGCTGCTTAAAGGTAAGTTTGGTGGGGAGATATAGAGGAGTATGACAGTAAAGGTTTTACTCGTTATTTGCATTTAGAATTTTGTATAAAACCCTCATCGCTACTTTCCAAATGAAGCTTTTCGCCATTTTATAATAAATAATAATATAAAATATTTTATAAGATAATTGTATAACAGATGACACACACACAATTTTAATTATTCATATTATTATTTTAAAAATACAGTAACTTTTATATCCCATAAAAGGAGAAAAAGTTACAGAACTTAATCATAATCATATCATAATCAGTGGTTACATCCATTATATCTATAATTTTTGCCAAATTAATTATAATTATTTCTTACGATAAACTCATTCTAGTATCTGTGGAGTTTTCTTCAATTT